GAGAAAAAGGAAAAAAAAATTAGTTATGGTAGGCTGAATAATGACCTACCAAAGATGTCCACTTCCTAATCCCCAAACCTGTGAATATGTTACCTTACATGGCAGAAAGGATTTTGCAGAAGTGATTAAGTTAAGGACTTTGAGATGAGGTGGTTATCCTGGGTTATTCAGGTAGTTCAATGTAATCACAAGAGTTCTTATAAAACAGACACAGAAGAGTCAGAGTCAGATAAGAAATGTGATCACAAAAGCTTAGGATGAGTGGGGGGGGAGAGGTCGGGGGAGGGAGAGGATGGAGTTGCTAGAGAACCAGCAGGCCTTGAAGCAGCTCTTGAGGATGGAGGAAGGGGCCACAAAGAATGCAGGGGATCTCTAGAAGCTGGAAAAGGTAAGAAAACGAATTCTCCCCTAGAGCCTCCGGAAGGAACGCAGCCCCACAACACTTTGATTTTGGGACTTTGCACTTCCAGAACTGTAAGGTAATAAACTTGTGTTGTTGTAAGCCATGAAGTTTGTGGGAATTTGTTACAGCAGCAATAGGAAGCTGGAATATTAATTTTATCCAATTTCAATGCTTGAGTAACATCTTTTCTTTTGAGGAAGATTAGCCCTGAGCTAACTGCTGCCAATCTTCCTCTTTTTGCTGAGGAAGACTGGCCCTGAGCTAACATCCGTGCCCATCCTCATCTGCTTTCTATGTGGGATGCCTACCATAGCATGGCTTGCCAAGCAGTGCCATGTCCGCACCTGGGATCTGAACTGGCAAACCCCAGGCCGCTGAAGCGGAACGTGCGCACTTAACTGCTGCGCCACCAGGCCAGCCCCAAGTAACATCTTTTTAATATTCTATGTGAAGAAATGCAGCCATTTCTGCTCCATAAGATGGCTGTCTCTAGGAAAAGCAGACAAGAGATCGAGTTATAAGTCCATTTAGCCACTTTCAAAAAAGGAACATTATTTTTGTGTGACAGGACAAACAACAGGTCAATCATGTTTATTCAGACTTGGAAATATAGGAGACATTTTCTCAAAAAATGAACAAATGAGCCTAACACTTAAAAAAAAACTGACAATAATTCTTGCCAATGACAAAATTCGAGCTTTCATGCAAAAATTAGCATTTTGGAAAACTTGTATTCATTACTGTGAGTTTGACAGTTCCTAATACTTAAAGACTTTTTCTGATGAGTCTATGAAAATAATGAATATGATTTTTAGATATTATATAATGAAATGTGTCAACATTTTGGAGATCTGAATAACTCAGTGAATCAATGTTTTCTGAACCACCAATCCATGATGTTACAAAATTTACATCGGTAAACTATGTACCCAAAATACAGAATAGACTAATGGATTTTTAATGTAACAGAGCACAAAAAGTTCAGTCATATGGTTTGAAGCTCCACATTTCAATTAAGAAACTACCACTTGTCAAGTTTGGATGTGCTACCAAAAAAATATTCATAGTTATCTGAAAAGGCCATTGAAACAGTCCTTCCCCTCCCCTTGCCCAATTACATATCTGTGTGAGGTTAGATTTTCTTTATGTACTTCAACCAGCTGCAACCAACATGGCAACAACTGAATGAAGAAGTAGCTATAACTACCCTCCTGTCTTCTATCAAGCTAGGCATTAAAGAAATTAAAGCCATTTGCAAAAATTAAAAACACCACCACTATTCTTACTAGTTTTCTTTGTATTGGAAAACGTGCTCATTTTTCATACAAATATGTTATTTATGCTTACATATTACATAATAAAGGGCTTATTATTTTTCAATGAATTAATATATATTTTAAAATTTTCTCACTTTTAATATCTAATATGGTAAATATCGTTAGATATAACACACATAAACAAAAGCTCTTTGGGGTATTCAATAATTTTTAAATGTTTAAAGGAGTTCTGGGACCAAAATGCTTAGGAACTGCTGCTATAGCTTGTATCAACTTATTCTGATTTCAATTTAGATTTTATTTTATTTTATTTATTTATTTGTTTTATTTTTTTTTTTTTTGGTAAGGAAGTTTGGCCCTGAGCTAACATCTGTTGCCAATCTTGCTTTTTTTTTTTTCCTTGAGGAAGACTGTCCCTAAGCTAACACCTGTGCCCATCTTCCTCTATTTTGTATGTGGGACACCTCCACAGCATGGCTTGATGGGCTGTGTGTAGGTCTGCGCCTGGGATCCGAACCTGTGAACCACGGGCCACCAAAGTGGAGCACATGAACTTAACTACTATGCCACCTGGCTGGCTCCTTATTTTATTATTTCTTTTGGAAGATTTTCATGAGCTTGGTTGGATGTGACTGTCCTATATGCTCCCTTATTAACATCCTATGCTTCCTTATTATTAGCAGCTCTTCTCAGAGCCATTTAAAAATACATACATAACAGTTGTACTGAGATATATCATACAGTTCACCTATTTAAAGTGTATAATTTTTAGTTTTTTAGTATATTCACAGAGCTGTGCAACCATCACAATCAATTTTAGAGCATTTTCATCACCCCCAAAAGAAACCTCTCCCCCTTAGCAGTCATTCCCTACTTCTTCGCTATTCCCCCAGCCCTAGCAGAAGGCTGGAGCAGTAGCCCACTAATCTATTTTCTGTCTCTATAGATTTGCCTATTCTTGACAGGTCATGTAAATGAAATCATATTTTGTGACTGGCTCCTTTTACTTAGCACGTTTTCAATGTTCATTCACATTGTATGAGTACTTCCTCCTTTTTTTATAGCTTAATAGTATTCCATTGTATGGATATGCCACTTTGGTTTATCCATTAGCCAGTTGATGGACATTTGGGTTGTTTCCACTTTTTTGCTGTTATGAACAATGCTGCTGTGAACATTTGTGTACATGTTTTTGTCTGGGCATATGTTATCAGTTCTCTTGGGTATATATCTAGGAGTAAATTGCTGGGTCATGGTAACTTTACTTTTAACAGTTTGAGGCAATGCCAGTAGGTTTTCCAAAGCATTTTATATTCCCACTAAGTAGGGTATGAGGGTTCTAATTTCTCCATATCTTTGTTAACTCTTGTTATTATCATCTGTCTTTTTGATTATAGACACCCTAGTGGGCGTGAATGGGTACCTCATTGTGGTTTTAATTTGCATTTCCTTGATGGCTAATCATGTTGAGCATCTTGTCATGTCTATTTGTATACCTTCTTTGGAGAAATGTCTATTCAGATCTTTTGCCCATTTTTAAATGATTATTTGTCTTTTTATTATTGAATTGTAATAGTTCTTTATGTATTCTGAATACTAGACCCTTATCAGATACATTATTTGCAGATATTTTTCCCCATTCTTTAGGTTGTCTTTTCAACGCAAAAGACAAAAGTTTTTTTTTTTTTAAAGATTTTATTTTTTCCTTTTTCTCCCCAAAGCCCCTCAGTACATAGTTGTATATTCTTCGTTGTGGGTCCTTCTAGTTGTGGCATGTGGGACGCTGCCTTAGCGTGGTCTGATGAGAAGTGCCATGTCCGCGCCCAGGATTCGAACCAACGAAACACTGGGCCGCCTGAAGCGGAGCGCGCAAATTTAACCACTCGGCCACGGGGCCAGCCCCAAAAGGAAAACGTTTTTTATATTTGATTTTTTTTTTCGTTTGAGGAAGATTAGCCCTGAGCTAACACCTGCTGCCAATCTCCCTCTTTTTGCTGAGGAAGCCTGGCCCTGATCTCACATCCGTGCCCATCTTCCTCCACTTTATAAGTGAGACGCCTGCCACAGCATGGCTTGCCAAGCGGTGCCATGTCCACACCCGGGATCCAGCCTGGCAAACCCCGGGCTACCCGGTTGCCCAAGGGGAACATGCAAACTTAACTGCTGCACCACTGGGCTGGCCCCTAGACAAAAGTTTTTAACTTTGATTAAGTCCAACGTATTTATTTTTCTTTCGTTGTTTGTGCTTTTGGCGTCATATCTAAGAAGCTCTCACTTAACCCAAGGTCAAGTTTTATACTTATGTTTTCTCTTAAGAGTTGTAGCTCTTACATTTAGGCCTTTGATCCGTTTTAAGTTAATTTTTCATGTTTTGAGGTAGTAAACCAAATTCATTTTGCAAGTCGGTATCCACTTGTTCCAGTAACATTTGTTGAAGTGCTTCTTTCACCATTGAATTGTGGCATTCTTGTGCAAAATTAATTGATGTGTGAGGGTTTATTGATTTATTTCTGGAATCTCAATTCTATTCCATTTGTTTACATCCTGATTCTCTACGCTTATGCCCGTAGAGCCACTGTATTTTGAAAAAGAAATCATAGAAGGATCATCGTTAACTCAGAGCAAGGAATTCACGGGTTGGAATCAGCTCATCGAGATTGTGTCCAATGGGATGACTGTTTTGCTTTCTTTTTTTAATCAAGGTCATGTGTTTGGCAAGCGGGGGAAGCAGGGCGCTGGTTAACCAAAAACGTTAGCTCTGGGGTCAGAAGCACAGGGATTCAATTCAGATTATTTAGGAAGGCTGACGAGCCAGGCCGGGAGACAATAGAAGCGTCGGGCTCGGCGTTCAGAGACGCGCAAGGTGTCCGGGAGGGAGGAGTCTGGGCTGTCGCTACGGTTCCCAACAGCAACTTTGGGGACCGGGAACTGTCGCCGGGGGACGGGCGCGGGCCCCGGCGCTCGGCGGCGCTGAGGAGACTGTCGTTGAGTCACTCGCGCGACCACCAACACAGCGGCGCGCGAGCCCTCCCGGCCGTCGGCTCCCCGCCGTTTTCCCGCCTCGCCTTCCCCTCTCGCCCGTCCCTCCCCCGGCGCGTACCGGAAGTGACGCGAGGCGTAGCGGAAGTCCCTCCAGCCGCGGTGTTGTGCTGTAGGGAAGAGAGACGGATTTGTAAACCCCGGAGCGAGGTCCTGCGTGCCCGAGGCTGCTGCTGCGCGGAGACCCCGGGGGAAGCCGCCGTCACCATGTCTGACCAGGTACCGGGCTGGGCGCGCGCGATGGCGGGGCCGAGGCCCTCCTCGGCAGGGCCGCCTGCCGCTCAGCCGGGGCCGGGATGGAGGCGCGGGGGAGGGGAGCGCGCCCTGGGGGAGGGGGCGGCCGGTGGGGCCTCGGCCCGGGAGGAAGGGAGTGGGCTGGGGCCGCAGACGCCGGGGCCTGCCGCGGGCCTCCGGGAGCCGCCCTGCCGCTCCCCGGGCTCGCTCGTCCCCTCGCCCCAGCGCCTCTGGCCGCGGCCTCCGTCAAGTCGGCCCCCTTCTGTCTCCAGTCCACCAGGTGCAGAGCCCGGCTTCCACCCCCCGCGAGGGTCCCTGGGGAGCCCGTCCGCCTCCCTCTCCGAGGACTGATTGCAGAAGCGGGGCCCTAGGCCCCGGTTATGTAACGGGAGAGAATCCCTGCCCTGGAGGCTCCGGGCCCTGAAAAGCGGCTGTACTCCACTTTTTGGTCTGGGTCTTTGGGTAGTTCCTGAGTGGGGACGTGGGGGCGGGGGCAGGGAGACGCGGTCTCGGGTTGCTGGGAACCTAGAAAGCTCTGCTTTCCGTCCGGATTGCGATTGCGGCGAGGGCCGGGCCGCCGCCGCGCTCGGAGTCTTGCCGTGTGGGGGTGCGGAGCTGTCGCCTCTTTTCTTGTACTTTCCCTTTCCTTACTCGGGATTGGTTGAGCGGCTCTCCAGTTGTAAGAGAGCACTCAGAATAACCAAGAAAGAAAGTAGCACAAAACTGCTAGAGCAACTCAAAACATTTCATCTGGGCATTAACCTGAAGGTGACTGATCCCTTGTAGGAAAAGGATAGGAAAGCTCCGTGTATGGAGAGCAGTTGCAGAACATTTGTAGAAAGCTGCGGATTTTGGCAAAGTGCTCCATCTCAATGTTAGTATTTACTATCAAGTATTTCCTTGGAATTTGCACTCAATCAGGAGTATTCGGTTTTCCGTAGTTAAGTTTTTCTTCCTCATCTTTTTGTAGTTAACCACGCTTATGGCTAGTTTTTAATTCGTAAGGTTTTTGTCTGGACTTCGTTTTGTTGCTCAGGCGACATTGACTTTTTAAAGTATTTTTGGACCTTTTGCTTGTTTAGTGATAGTTATCTAGGAAACTGTTTTTCATTCAACTCCGTAGTGTACTTGAGCTTTTAAATTTAACACTTATTCCCCTGGCTTTTAACCTAGTTCAGTTTTGTACCACTTGGTGAGAGCAAGTGATGCTTTTGTGGATTTGTACTGTCGTGCAAAATGCACATGTATGTTTTTAAAGCTTAACCATAATCTAGATAGTTTTGGATGGGTCTTCTTACTAACAGTCGAGGTTAATTCCCAAGTTGGTATGGGAATGGCATTATAAGTATTTCCCTAGATAGTTGTTTACTTGGTTACCAGGGAGGGAGGAACAGGTGTAAATGCTCAGTTTCGTCAGCCTTTTATTTTGATGCTCAGAAGTGGCTAGGAAGCATGTTGAAACAGAAATGTACAGAAGGACTTATGAAGTAAATGGTAGAATTTATTCCACCAGATTGAATTCCGGTCATTTAAGAAAGACGTGAGGGAAAAAATAAAGGACCTGGGGCACTAACAGGTGGCTGTAGGCCAGAGGTTCTTTAGATCCTTTTCAGGGGGTCCTCGAGGCCAAAACTATTTTCATGATAATACCAGCACATGACACATTATTTGTCTTTTTCACTCTTCATTCTTTCATGAGTGTTTAGTGGAGTTTTCTCAAGACTTAAATGACCTGTGGTATTACAACAGATTGAAATGTAGAAGCAGATGTGAAAATCCACCTGCTTTCTGTTAAGGCAGGCATTGAGAGATTTGCAAGAATGCAGAAACAGTGTCACTCTTCTCATTAGTTTTGTTTTGGAAACTATTTTTAATGAAAATGTTCTTTGCTAATATATAATGAGTTTATTGTTATTTTAAAAATGAATTAATATTTAAAACATTTCTTGGTGGTTTCAGTGTCTAAATATTGTATACCTCAGTAGACATAACCAACCTGACAAAAGCTTTAGGGGGTTCTAAATAATTTTTAAAAGTGTAAAAGAGTCCTGAGACCAAGAAGTTTGAGAACTGTTGCTTTAGGTTGATTGACCAGCATCATTATTAATAATCAGGACCCAGTACAGTTCCAGTGTTGAGTACTAAGGATTTAAAGAGATATGCAGCTCCACTCTCACCCTTAAGAGGCTTATGAGTGAGAGTAAGAATCCCAAGTTACAACTATGCAATATCAGCAGATGAGACTGAATCACAATCTTAATTTAAACCAGATTCTTTTAGAATCATGTGTTTTCTGAAGTACCTCTCAGAAGGTTATTGTCTGTTGCTAAGATATTGAAATTGAGTAATAATTTCAGGTTAAAATAGGTGGATATTAAATTCACACGAGACTTAAATTGCTGGGTTCTCCATTGATTAATGAAAAATGATTATTTTTGGAATTTGAGTGAAATGCTTTCTTATAATTCTGACAATGCTGCCATTATGTAGTGGATTTGTGGACCATTATTGAATAATCTTCTAAAATAGTTTCTAAACCTGAGGTTCATGGACCTTAAGGGCTGAAAATTCACTGAAATTGTATAGATTGTTTTGTGAGTATTTGTGCATGTGTATTTTTTTTAAGGGAGAAAGAAATAGCTTTCATCAGGGGTACATGATCCCTCAAAAAGGTTAAGGACTAGACTTTAACCAGTAACGGATTGGGTGCTCTCCTTTAGCCTAATCACCTTGCAGCAAAATTAAGCACTCACATAGAACCAGAAGCTTAATATCAAATGGGCAAGGGTGATTTGTCCAAATATTTTCCCTTTCTCCTTCCCCGTCTTCAAGTTTATCTTTTTTTTTCGTATGTCAGAATCATCAAAGGCAGTGAGGACTTCAGCTCTTCAGTTCAGGTCTGTTAATTTGTAATAATTTGGATGACTGGTTTGCTTTAAATGCTAACTGAATCTGTTATGACAAGGTTCGTTCTCCCTGCCCCCGCCTCAGAGTCAGAGAGAGAGATTGATTGAATGATTTCCTTTTATCTTTGGTCAAGGATTTGGACCATTATGTAATTGAGGTTATCTGTTGGTTCCTAACAAGCTACCTCAAAACTTAGTGGCTTAAAACAACAATCTTGTAATTTGCTCATAAATCTGCCACTGAGCAGGGCTCTGTGAGTTGGACTCATCATCGCTCCTTGTGTGGGGGCCTCAGCTAGGCTTACTCAAATAGCTGGACTGTTCTTACAGTCTCAGGGCCTCTGTGAGTGGTCTCATCATGTGTTCTCTTCAGCCTGGGGATCCCAGGATAGTCAGACCTATGGCAGCTCAGGCCTCACAAGAGAGTGAGTGTTCCCAGAGAAGCGGAGTGGAAACCTCAAGCCTCCTGGGACCTAGCGTTGGAACTCACTTTCGCATTTGGTTGGTCAGGCAGTTCACTGAGGCCAGCCCAAATTCAAGAGATTTATTTATTTTTATTGAGATATAATTGACATGTCACATTAGTTTCAGGTGTACAACATAGTGATTCAATATTTGTATATATTTTGAAATGATCACAATAAATCTAGTTAACATCCATCACCACACATAGTTACAAATTTTTTTCTTGTGTGAGAACTTTTAAGGTTTACTCTCTTAGCTTTCAAATATGCAATACAGTATTATTAACTATAGTCACCAAGGGAAAGGCATTTAGACTCCGTTTCTCAAAGGGAAGAGTAACCGTGAATTTGCAGTTATCTTTAATCTATGACATGAATTGTATTTCTTCTGTTAGGATAGCATTATTCCCTGCAGTGTTCTTTATATCTCCCTGTTGCTGTTTACTGATCTTAGTAATTGTTGGCTTGAGAGAGCAGAAGAATACGATGAACTGGGCGTATATTAAAATTCATAATTGTGTATACTACTATTTATATCATAGAATAAGTACGTTAAACTGTAGCTATGATTTGAGCAGGTAGTGATACATACATTAAGCATTCCATGGCCTAGGAGAGTAAAGATATGTTCTCTCTTCTCTCTGATAGATATATGAGGTGCTGCTAGTGGGTGTTGCAAACATATAGATTATAATAAAACATTTCAAAGCAAATGTCACCTAAACAATACTTAATAATATTTTGAAAACTGAATGTGATTGTTATGGTTAGAGTACTCTTGAAGGTTAGTTGAGTAGTTCAAATTGCAAAACTATAAAGCAATTGTCAAGTATGTCGTGACACCCATTAGTTCCCCAGGGCAGTTAGAATGTCTCCGTTATAGCTTTTTATATAGTGTTACAGTTATTTACTTAAGTGTCTTTCTCCATTGGACCATTTGCTTTTCAGGGTCAGGAATCAGGCTTTCTTCATTCTTTTTTTCCTGAAGTGCCCGGGCAAAGTGACTGGATACTTTAGTAAAAGTTTTTGAAGGAATGAGTGGTCAGATTCATTCATTTATCAAGTATTTCTTGACTGTCAGTGTGCTGTCAGCATCATTCTCGGCCCTAGAATTGGAGGGTTGCCTCAGAAACATGAAGCAGCAGGTCCTCCTCCTCCTCTTTCAGTTCCCGTGACGTTTGGGTCCGGAGGAAGGGCTGGCTGTCCGAGTGGAGTCGTTTTCCTTTTATGATGCTTTTGCATACCTTCTTGACCTTTACTTCTATTTGCGATAGACCTGGTAACTTTATCTCCAAGATCAAATCATTTGCATCTTCCAGGACATTGGGATTGTTACGGATAATTTTCTCTAAGCCATGTAGTATTCCCATTTTGGAATTTCCTGAAATTGTGATTTTTTTTTTTTTGGTAGATAATTATCTGATACTCCAAAAAAGTCATGTTGGTAAGTTCACACAGGTTTTATCATTGAGCACCTTAGTTTTACGGTTAAATTTTGAATATTCCTACAACATGACTCAGATTTATTTAAAGATGTATGGTATTTGTTATGCTTTTCTATTTCGACCATTCTTTTTGCCTGTGATTGCCTTTGCTGAGCTAATGAGAGTCTGAAGGAAAAGACCTGAAGGAAGGAAGGGTGGAGTTCTGTTTGCTGGACTCACTGTTCTCAGTGTTCAGGGCCAGTTATTTTTAAAGGTTTTACTGAAGATTAATATACATATGAAAAAGTGCACATAAATGGATAGTTTGAACTTTCACAAATTGATCATGTTTATGCAGCCAGCACCCAAATTAAGAACCACTAGCCTAACTAACACACAGATTAGTTTTGCCTGGTTTTATACATTATAACATGATATAAGTGGAATCATACAGTGTATACTTCTGTGTCTGGCTTCTTTTGCTCATTGTTTGGAGATTGTCCATATTATTGTGTGTAGTTGTATCTTGTTAAATCTCATTGCCGTATTGCATTCCATTGTGTGAAGGTACCACAATTTACTTCTCCATTCTGCTTTTCACGCACATTGAGGTGGTTTTCTAGGACCTGTTTTTAACATGAGCCAAACGATACCTATTTACAGCACTTCCTATGTCGGGTTAGATTGGTTTTGGCCTGAATATCAGAAAATCTGATATATAGTAAGTTAAACAAATATGCAGTTTATTTTTCTCATGAAATACATCCAGACGTAAGTAGTTCAGGGCTGGTAAGATAGTGCCACAATGCCTTCGTATGCCTTTCTCCTCCATCCTTAACAGCTCATGCTTGTCTCCTTGTGGGCACAAAAAGGTTGCTTTGTATCTTTGTTCCAGGCAGGAGAAAGGGATAAAGCAAAGGGAAAAAGTATACCAAAAACTATGTCATCTTTTCTCTCATTGACCAGCACTGCATCATGTGGCCTTAAGAGAAGCTGGGAAATATTCTTTTTTAGCTGGGCACATTTAGGCTTCCCTTTGTAAGGAAGAAGGGGAAAATGGATATTGGATAGGTAATGAACAACTGCCTGTCTGCCATACCTCATCTATGTGCTGGTACTTTTAGATACGGTCAGGCCAGTTTGTTCCAGGCTTTGCATACGTCCGTAGTCTAGGATCAAAGAGTAGGGTTTACACAACCAGTGCAATTTTCAATTATAATTTTCAGTTCCTGAGAAGTTGTCTGTGCATGTTTAGTGTTTAACCACAATTGTAGGGTTGAATGTAGATTTACAGAAGACCCAGTGTCTTGACAGCCCGACTTAAACTTTGAAGTTATGGAGCTAAATTTGGTCAGTTCCGTTCCAGATCTCTAGTACCGTCTCATTAAGTTTGAATATGTGTAGCATGAAGCTGAAAATGTATGTGTATTTTTGTGTTTTTAGAATTGTGGTAAATTCATTGAATTATGAGGGAGAAGACTTTATGGTGATTTTGGAGTTTGTATTTTTTAATAATGGATATAAGTATTAGAATTATCCAATTTAACCCTTGTTGAGCTTGCTTCATTAGGAAATAAAGTAAACTGATATGTTACAGTAAGACCTATGGTTAACAGAATTTTTGGAAACTTTGAGTGAATGCATTTTTATGAAATGTTTTATTATGGAAAATTTTAATGTACATATAATTGTACCTATATATCCATCTCTTGGCTGTCTTATTTCAGCTGCACAGCCCCACTTGTTATTTTGAAGCCAGTCCCAGACATTTTATCTGTAAATATTTCAGTATGTATCTCTAAAAGAGAAGTACTTTTTCTTTTGACATGACCAGGATATTGTTGTCACTCCTTAAAAAGTGAACAGATTTGTTAATGTCATCAAACTAGGGTAAATGCATTCTTTGTTTTTGGATTTCCTCAGAATCTCCCCTCATTCAGAAGAACGAACAACCCTTGTATGAGTGGAAGGGTCGGTGACAGACTGTGGGTAAAGTGTGATGCTCTCTCCATGTGATTGGATTGTCAGCATACTGATTGGCAGAGCACTTCTAAGCAAAGTCCTTGTTTTTTGACTTTGAAATGGCACAATAAAATCCTTCTCATGAATTTTTTATATTTTTAAATGAGGATCGTTGTGTTTTCTGTCCTTTCCAGTCTAATTCTCTTTCCAGATCCAGCCGTCTTCTATTTCCAAGCTATTCCTTCTATATCTTGCAAAGAAGAGTTGATAGTGCCTGGTGTCTGATAAATTCCTTTACCATTCCAGGTACCATGATTCAGTCTCTGGATGACACCTGAAAACTTAGAGGTTTTCAGTTCCTCTCTTTGATCTTGTACATACATTTACTTTTTCTTAGGTTACCAGGTTTTTCTGCTCTTGGGCTGTGCATCCTCTCCAGCCAAATCAACCGGCCCTCTCTGGGATTCTCTTTTCTCTGATGACCTGGTGTCCCAGACCCAGTGCTGTATGCTTGCACTGTTTGGTAGCTAGTGTGCCATACCATTCTGTATTGGCTGCTTTTTTACGGGGGAGAGAAGGAAAGAGCATACAAAAGACGCTGAAATCTCTGGAGACAAACTTTGGCCTTTTTTATCTAAGATCTTCTCACTTTCCAGACTAGTTTGTCAAAAGAAAAAAAGGTAGCACAGGAAAAATTGGATGGCTGCGTTAGGCAAGCATGAGGCTGTTAAACAAGTGGCACCGATGACACTGCTGTGGGGCTTCAGTCTGGAAGACGTCGCCGAAATGGAGCGACTAGGGAAAGTGGCGCCTTGTTTGTGGAAATAGCAAATCCCTGTGTTCACATGTTCTTATGAACGGAGTGAATTCTTATTTTCAACTGTGAATATAAAAATCTGAAAGGATTTTTGTTTGGACTGACTGTTGTGTAGAGTAGAAGTATGAAGCGTTAGTAACATTTTGTGGTATGATACAGAAAGTAGTGCTGTCACCTTAATTCAGCGAGCATTAAATAATTGCCTAGTATTCGCCTGGCACTACAGAGATTATAAAGATGAAAAACTTAGGACCCTCTCCTTATACACTTACGGTGAGACAAGACATACAAAACCATCACAGAAAACATTAATTTATTTGGCAAGCATATTGAATATCTTCAAAGTACCAGGCACTGTGCTTGACCAGAAATACAAAGAAGAGTAAGGCATGCCAATAAGGAGCTTAGTCTAGTGGGAGATACAGGCATGCGAATGTGGTTATAATAGATACAAGTAAGCAGTATGGGACATTTAAGAGGGTGGTCTGGGAAATCATTTTGTAGGAAGTGATGCCCGAGTGGTCTTGAAAAGGGATTAGGGTAGGAAAGGACATTCCAAGCAGAGGGAATTAGCTTGTACAGAGATAGGGGAGATAAGATAGAGGGTGCCATGTTCAAGGAGTTGTAGATAGTTCAATATGGCTGGAGCAAAGGGTATTATTAGTAAGAAACAGGAGAATAAGGACCAGCACACGAAGGACCACTGTGTGTCAGCTAAGGAGTTTGAACTGAACCCTGAAGATTCTGGGCAGGTCAGATGGCATTTTATTTTATTTTATTTATTTATTGTTTTAAAAGATTTTTCCTTTTTCTCCCCAAAGCCCCCGGGTACATAGTTGTGTATTTTTAGTTGTGGATCTTTCAGGTTGTGGCATGTGGGACACCGCCTCAGTGTGGCTTGATGAGCGGTGCCATGTCTGCGCCCAGGATCCCAACCTGCGAAACCCTGGGCCGCCTCTGCGCGTAAACTTAAAACTCGGCCACAGGGCTGGCCCCCACTAGCCTCTATCTTAAAGTTAAAAGCTACTTCTAGTTTAATATTTTCTGTTAAATTTTGAGTGTCAAAGAGTTTATTAGTTTTAAGTTACTGGCGTGAGATACACAGGTAAGGCCGTTATTTTATTTTTAAGATACAATATGGTTGGTTATATTCTTATCAAGCATGGATTAACACTTTGAAATTGTTATGAATAATATAGTATATATTTAAGTAAGTGAATAATTTATTTGGTGGCCAAACAAAGATATAGCACATGGGAAAGCTGCTTCTATCACACCATTGAGTGAAATTTTCCAGGCTTCCTCCTTTACTAAAAGTGGCTTACGGGTCCGCCCCCGTGGCTGGGTGGTTGGGTTCCTCTGCTTTGGCAGCACGGGGTTTCGCCGGTTGGGATCCTGGCTGCGCACGTGGCACCGCTTGTCAGGCCATGCTGGGGCGGAGTCCCGCATGCCACAACTGGAAGGACGCACAACTAAAAAAAATATGCAGCTATGTACCGGCGGGGCTTTGGGGAGAAAAAGGAAAAAATAAAAAATCTTAAAAAAGAAAAAGTGGCTTACTTTTCTTAGATACTTCGTGGTGAAGTTGTTTCAACTAATTTATTGTGTTAGTTTCGTTTTCTTTTCAGTATCCCTTCATTTGGAATTCCTTTGTGACTCTCTTTTCTTTCTTCCAGTCTGGTTTCCTCTTCCCTTTTCCTGCTTACCATTTGTGCTTTTCTCTCATTTAGGTTCAATTCCCCTAATTCTTTTTCAGCCAAGCCTAATCTTCTGACATTGCATATAACGCTTCAGGTAGTCTAAAATAGTAGGTGAGAGAAAACTGATTTGTTTTGACTCTAGAGTATGTTAGGCCAGATGCTTGGCCATTTGATTTCCTCCTAAATAGAGTTTGCTTATGCTACTATGATTAATTTGTGTTTCTTAGTATAGTTTTGTAATGGGCGTAGTTAACTTCTCCCCATAGGCTGTGAGAAGATAATCTTGGGTTCAGAATGTTTGGTTAAGAATTCATGGAGAATGAGCTTCCTTTGACTAATAGGAATTGACTGTAAGGGTAATGGTTTCCAGGTTGTTCCTCTGCCCAGCAGAGTGGTAATTTGTTAGAAATGCAAATTGCAGCCCTACCCCAGACCTACAGAACAAACTGGGAGTGGGGCCTAGGGGGCTTAACCAGTCCTTGGGGGGTTCTGATGCACGGCGAAGTGTTATTACCATTATTGTAGGATATTGTAAGAAAAGAGACCTCGTTCTTGATTTCTAGTGAACTAGTGTTTGGGACAGTAATTGGGTTGGGACCTTTTTTGCTCTTTTCTTTAAATGTCCTTTTCTTTCAGGAGGCAAAACCTTCAACTGAGGATTTGGGGGATAAGAAGGAAGGAGAATACATAAAACTGAAAGTCATTGGACAGGTGAGTTTCATTATTTTTCTCCTTTGACTCTTCCTTGAATCTGTGAATAATTTCTAACACATGGGAAAAGTGATTTAGGTAAGGCAAGTTATTTATAAAAGGCATTTTTATTTACTATGTATGCATCTCTTGGAAGTAGAAGAGGCTGGTACTGTTTTTTTAATTGGTCTGCTTTGCAGATTTAGATCACCTTAATTTCGCCAAATAAACCTGTTTTTTTCGTTAGCAGTCGTCAATGGCAAATACAGTGGATACTATTGAGTTGATAAGGCTGAGGCCAACCTTAAACAAAAGGACCTCTCTGCCCTTTTCCTGACCCTTTGCTTTTTCCTGGCACCTCATTTCTCCAGACTCTGGCCTGTATCTTACTGACCCTTTTTGAGATGTTTGCTGATACTTAGAAGGTTAGCTGAAAATTGTTGGAGGAATGAATCTTCATAGTTGTTTTTTTTAAAGGGCAAAAGACAGAATTGGTGGACTCTCACCATCAAAGCATCAGCGTACCATTTCCCCACATTCTCCCAAACGTGAAATATTACCAGTCTTTCAATTTTGTGCCAGTATGATAGGTAAAAGAATTTTATTTTGCATTTCTCTATCAGTGAGGTGTAATTTTTTGTCTACTATGTTTATGTTCTTCTATTGTGTGTTCATATCCTTTTGCCATTTTCTGTGATTATCTCATTTTGAAAATTTTTTATGGTGATATAATTCATATACCATAAAATTCTCCATTTTAAAGTGTATAATTCATTGGCTTTAGTACATTCACAAGGCTGTGCAACTATTGCCGCTATTTAATTCCAGAATGTTTTCATCACCCTAAAAAAGACATGCTGTACTTACTAGCAATAACTCTGCATCCTCCTCTCCCTCCACCCTCTAGCAACCACTAAGCTAGTTTTTGTCTTTATGGATTTACCTATTCTGGACGTTGCATGAAAATGAAATGATGTGATATATGGCCTTTTGTGTCTGGCTTCTTTCATTCCGCATATTTTAAAGTTCATCCAAGTTGTAGCGTGTATCAGTATTTCATTCCTTTTTATGGCCAAATAATAATTCATTGTATGGATATACCAGTTTGTTATTAAGTTCATCAGTTAATGGACATTTGGGTTGTTTCCATATATTGGCTATCATGAATAATGTTGCTGTGAACATTCATATGTAAGTTTTTATGTAGATGTGTTTTTAGTTCTCTTGGGTATATATCTAGGAGTGGAATTGTTGGGTCTAATACAGTGGTAATTTTGTTTACCTTTTTGAGGACCTGCCAAACTATTTTCAGCAGTGGCTGCATCATTTTAATTCCCACTGGCAATGTATGAAGATTTCAATTTCTCCATTCTGGTCAATACTTACTGTTATCTGTCTTTTTGATTATAGTCATCCTACTGGGTGAAGTAGTATCTTTTTCGATTTGCATTTCCCTGATGGCTAATGATGTTGAGTATCTTTTCATGTTCTTATTGGCCATTTATACGTCATGTCTGGAGAAATGTCTCTTCAGATGTTTTGTCCATTTAAAAATTGGATTATTTTTTTATTTTTGAGTTGTAATAATTCTTTTTATATTATGGATATTAGACCTTAATCAGATAGATGGTTTGCAAATATTTTCTCCCATCTTGGGTTGTCTTTTCGCTGTCTTGGTTATGTCCTTTTGCAGCACGTGGTTTTAAATTTGGTGAATTGATCTGTTTTTTCTTTTGCTGCTGTGATTAAGTCTTTGATCATTTTTGTCCGGATTTGAGGTAGATTCTAACTTCTTTTGCATGTGGCTATCCATTTGTCCCAGACCATTGGTTGAAAAGTCCATCCTTTTCCCATTGAACTGCTTGGCATCCTTGTCAAAAATCAAGAGAACATAGATATATATGGCTTTATTTCTGGGCCCTTAGTTTTATTGCATTAATCTGTATGTCTCTCCTATGCCATTGATTACCTTTTTATTTTTTTAAATTTTTTATTATTTTTTAATTGCAGTAACATTGGATTATAACAATATATAGCTTTCAGATGTACATCGTAATATATTTTGAATTCTGTGTAGATTACATCATGTTCACCACCCAAAAACGAATTAGAGTCCTTCCCCTCACATGTGAGCCTAATCACCCCTTTTGCCCTCCCCCCCTTCCCCTATGGCAACTGCCCGTCCAATGTCCATTGCTATGTGTTTGTCATTGTTTTTATCTTCTACTTAGGAGTGAGATCATACGGTATTTGACTTTCTCTCTCTGACTTATTTCACTCAGCATATTACCCTCAAGGACCATCCATGTTGTCACACATGGCCAGATTTCATCATTTCTTATGGCTGAGTAGTATTCCATTGTGTATATACACAACATCTTCTTTATCCATTCGTCCCTTGATGGGCACCTAGGTTGCTTCCAAGTCTTGGCTATTGTGTATAATGCTGCAGTGAACATAGAGGTGCATGTATCTTTATGCATTTGTGTTTTCAAGTTCTTTGGATAAATACCCAGCAGTGGGATAGCTGGATCATATGGTAGATCTCTTCTTAATTTTCTGATACTCCATACTGCTTTCCATAGTGGCTGCACAAGTTTGCACTCCCACCAGCAGTGTATGAAGGTTCCATTCTCTCCAATCCTTTCCAACACTTGTTGTTTCCTGTCTTGTTAATTGTAGCCATTGTGACCGGAGTGAGGTGATACCTCATTGTAGTTTTGATTTGCGTTTCCCTGATAGCTAATGATGTTGAGCATCTTTTCATATGCCTGTTGGCCATCCAGATATCTTCTTTGGAGAAATCTCTGTTCAGATCTTTTGCCCATTTTTTAATTGGGTTGTTGGTTTTTTTGTTGTTGAGATGTATGAGTTCTTTGTATATTTTGGATATTAACCCCTTATCTGATATATGGTTTGCAAATATCTTCTCCCAATTGTTAGGTTGTCTTTTCGTTTTGTTGATGGTTTCCTTTGCTGTGCAGAAGATTTTTAGTTTGATGTAGTCCCATTTGTTCAGTTTTTCTTTTGTTTCCCCTGCCCAGTCAGACATGGGACTTGAAAATGTGCTGCTAAGACGAATGTCAAAGAGCATACTGCCTATGTTTTCTTCTAGAAGTTTCATGGTTTCGGGTGTTACATTCAAGTCTTTAATCCATTTTGAGTTGATTTTGTGCATGGTGTCAGATAATGGTCTACTTTCATTCTTTGCATGTGGCTGTCCAGTTTTCCCAACACCATTTATTGAAGAGACTCTCCTTTCTCCATTGTATGCTCTTGGCTCCCTTGTCGAATATTAGCTGTCCATAGATGTGTGGGTTTATTTCTGGGCTCTCGATTCTGTTTCATTGATCTGTGTGTCTCTTTTTATGCCAGTACTGTGCTGTTTTGGTTACTATGGCTTTGTAGCGTATTTTGAAATCAGGGAGAGTGATACCCTCAGCTTTGTTCTTTTTTCTCAGGAATCCTTTGGCTATTCGGGGTCTTTTGTTGTTCCATATAAATTTTAGGATTCTTTGTTCTATTTCTGTGAAAAATGTTGTTGGAACTTTGATAGGGATTGCGTTGAATCTATAGATTGCTTTAGGAAGTATGGACATTTTAACGATGTTAATTCTTCCAATCCAAGAGCATGGGATATCTTTCTGTTTCTTTGTGTCTACTTCGATTTCTTTCAACAATGTTTTATACTTTTCAGTGTACAGATCTTTCACCTCTTTGGTTAAGTTTATTCCTAGGTATTTTATTCTTTTTGTTGCAATTGTAAATGGGATTGTATTCTTAATTTCTCTTTCTGCTACTTCGTTGTTAGTGTATAGAAACGCAACCAATTTTTGTATCTTGATTTTGTATCCCACAACTTGACTGTATTCATTTATTGTTTCTAAAAGTTTTTTAGTGGATTCTTTAGGGTTTTCTATGTATAAAATCATGTCGTCTGCAAAGAGTGACAGTTTCACCACTTCTTTTCCAATGTGGATCCCTTTTATTTCTTTTTCTTGCCTGATTGCTCTGGCTAGGACTTCCAATACTATGTTAAATAAGAGTGGTGACAGTGGGCATCCTTGTCTGGTTCCTGTTCTTAGAGGGATAGCTTTCAGTTTTTCTCTGTTGGGAATGATATTTGCTGTGGGTTTGTCATATATGGGCTTCATTATGTTGAGGTATTTTCCTTCTATGCCCATTTTATTTAGAGTTTTTATCATAAATGGATGCTGTATCTTGTCAAATGCTTTCTCTGTATCTATTGAGATGATCATGTGATTTTTATTCTTCATTTTGTCAATGTGGTGTATCACGTTGATAGATTTGTGGATGTTGAACCATCCCTGCATCCCTGAAATGAAACCCACTTGATCACGATATATGATCTTTTTAATGTATTGTTGTATTCGATTTGTGATTACCTTTTTTAAATATTGATTTGTAGGAATTCTTTATGTGTTCTTGATTTTTCTTGTCTGTTTTGTGTGTTGTGAGTATTTTCTCCACTGTCTCTTAACTTTTGTTTATGGTGCCTTTTACTGTATGAATGGTTTATGTTTTTATTAAATCAAGTTTATCAATCTCCTTTTTTTATGGCTTCTAGGTTAAAATCTTGCGTTAGAATAAGGATTTCCTAATGTCAAGATTAGAGGAAAAATCTCTCTTAAGAGGAAGAAAAAATATTAAAAAAATATTTTGAAACGTTAGCTCTTTTAATTCGTCTGGAAGAATTTTAGTGTATGGTGTGAGGTATGCTGTAGAAATTTTGTCTGTTCATGAAATTATCTATAGGAAGAGAATTTGTTTTTTCTTTATAATTCTAGTCACAAACAAAAGTATAAACATGCACCTTGCAGTAGCATACATTTGTGAACGTGATATGTAATTGTAAGGATTGGCTTTGAAATTTTACAGTATGCAAGTGCCAGTATTCTCTTCAGATGGTTGCCTGTAGTTTGCTTGACAGTCTAGGTAGAAGAAAAGAATCTGTGGTCCTGCAAATCAATTTGACTGACTTGCATTCTTACTCATTTTTCTCAGGTGACAGACCAGACTCTCTGGGGTGACTGTTTATGGCAGGAATCAGTTCCTCAGTCTGTTATTTTATGGTATATGTCTCTCTTGTTGGTTTGACCACCTGTAACGACGCTTCACTTGCGGGGGCTACTTTTGTTTTGAGTTGCTTTTGGGGGTTTGTGACAGTTCAAGTTCTTTTATTTTGAAAATAGACTCGGCACTCAGTATGAAAGAATGCGTTCTTTGACATACATCCTTTTACTTATACTGCTAATTTTAACCCCCAACACACATTGTTTGATTAAGTGTCTTTTGAAATGGGTATAAAGCAACTTTCAGGATGATTAGAGTGTTTTAATAAAACCTGTTAGGAATACTAAAAAGAATGTTTTGGTGGGAAAATGTAGGTGACAAGGTTTCTGTTTTTGTCGTGTACAATCGTCACTCAGTGTCTGCAGGGTGTTGCTTCCTGGAACCCTGCAGATACCAAAACCCGTGGATGCTCAAGTCCCTTAATTGGCCCTCCGTATCTGCAGGTTCCACAGCTGTGGATTCCGCATCCGTGGACTCAGCCAACTTCGCATCCTAATCATAGTAGATACAAGATCTGTGGTGGGTTGAATCTGTGGATGCAGAACCCGTGGATTTGGAGGGCCAATTGTGTGTGTAATTAAATAATTTATTTCAAGCAAAGCAAGTAGTTTACACAAAGAGAGATAATTTTTTTTCTTTTATCTCCTTAGGATAGCAGTGAGATTCACTTCAAAGTGAAAATGACAACACATCTCAAGAAACTTAAAGAATCATACTGTCAAAGACAGGTTTGTATGTATTAAGTACAGAGCTTTATATGTCATTAATTTTTCTTTTAAGGATGATTGCCAAAGGACAAGTGATCTTTTATTATTTTCACCATTAGCAACTCAAGGAGAATACTCCTTATATCCTGTTTAATTGCTTTTTCCCCCTTGTGGCCCATTTCAAAATTTGAGTTCATAAGATATGTGGAACTAGTTTGAAAAATAACTTAGAGTTGTAAAGATAGCTGTATGAATGTTTCTGTCTTGAGAGTTTATAAGTGTGAGTCACAATAAAGGCAAGTACTTTTTTGTGATCACTGTGAAATTTCCTTGTTTCTAACCATGGGTGTTATAGCCATATGTTAAATTTAAGTATTAATATTAGTAGTTTATTATCTTTATACGTTTACTGCTAATTGCATTCTGTATTTTCAACATCAAGGAATTTTCTCTTTTTAAAAAGTCATAAAGAAGTCTAATTAATTTATTAATGCCAAATCCTCACAGATTCTGGCCTTCATGAGCTGGATTATTAGAACAATAACTAATTCCTTTCACCTGCCTGGATTCAAATTCGGCTTCACCACTGTCTGACTGTGGGACCTTGGACAAGTTATGTGCCTTGTTTCCTCCATATTAAAATGGAAATATTACAGTGCCTACCTCATGAAGAGGAAATCAGATGACCTACATAAAGGTCTTAACATGATGCCTAAAAATCCTCAATAAATGTTACCTGTTATTGTCATTATTAATAAAATAGAGGGTTTTTTTTGAGGAAGATTAGCCCTGAGCTAACATTTGCTGCCAATCTTCCTCTTTTTGTTGAGGAAGACTGGCCCTGAGCTAACATCTGTGCCCATTTTCTTCTACTTTCTATGTGGGATGCCTACCACAGCATGGCTTGCCAAGCAGTGCCATGTCTGCACCCGGGATCCAAACTGGTGAACCCCAGGCCGCCGAAGCAGCACATGTGCACTTAACCACTGAGCCACCGGGCTGGCCCCTAAGAGAGGTTTTTAAATAAATGTAATTGGAATTAGTTTATATGGGAGACAACCAAGATATATTTTGATAATTAGATCATATTCCATGATATTAACTCAGGTATTGTAGGTTTTATTTTTAGAAGGCTTGCTTTTTACAGTTTAAATTTGAAACTTAGATAAAAATCACTTTTGCCAGAAGAAAAAGAGATCACCTAGGTGTTAGGATAAGTAAAACAATAAACACTTCTTTCTCTTCTGTTTTTGATGTCAATTGTTAAACTTAATAAAATCTTATTAATTGGGGCTTAACTAGTTCACATTTATAATAATATTGATGGGAGCTAAAATTGAGATGTTCACCAGGGGAAAGGAACATATACGTTAAATGCATTGCGCTAAGGACTTAGGTGAGTTGTCATTTAATCCTAACAATGACTCTGAAGAAGTTTATCTAGTCTTTTCACCCCATCTGATGACCAAGGAGTTGATTATTGAGGAAAAATGGTGCACAGTAAAGAGGTAAATCACAGAGCTGAAGTGAAAATTAAGCTTTGATCCAAAATGGAAAGTGCTAGGTTTGGGGAGATAATTAAAATATAACATCAATTTAGAATAACTTCCAACACTTTTTTTTATGCTTGGGCATATACTTAAAACTTAAGAAAAAGTTATTTTACTTAGTTCACAGAGGCTTGATAGTTTTTCTTATATTTAATGATGTACGACGAATAGGAAACTTAATTTATCTGAACCATGCAACACTTACCCAATAGAGAGAGATTGAAAACTATATAAAGTAAATATTTGTTGAATCATTCTTCCATTTTGATTTTATAGATTGGTTTCTATAGAAACTTTTTTCACTCTGACACAGGATAATGTTTCTTTTTTAAAAGATCCTATAATTAAAATCAAAGACTATCCTGCCTTTGTCAGTTACGTTTATTTTATTATTTAATACAACCCTGGAAGGAATTTGAAATTAAATGGAAGGTGAGTTTGCACGGTCTCCTATATTTATGTACAGTACATATTGGAAGATAGTTTTAATTTTTTTGGATGTTTTTGGGACAGTGTTTGAACACTCAAGCTGGAAACCTTAATACATTAGGTATTGAGCAAAACTGTCATAATACTTTTGGACTAAATAAATGATTCTTGATTTATACTTACTAGTGATTTCTCTTTAAGTGAGTCACCTCTTCCCTTTTAACTATTTGTGTTGACTAAGTGATTGGAAAAATGTGTTTTAATCTTTTGTGATGTTGATAGTGCTATCTGTGCCATCACAGGTTTACTGTAGCTTACCTGGCTAGCTACTGTGCTTTACCAAGTTTCTATGATTTAATCTATTTAAAACCAGTTTTGCTTGTGTAGTTGGAAGCTAGTGAGAGTGCTCATCCAATTTCTGAGTTTATCTTTCATGTTAACTTACAGATTTGAGAGGAAACTATAGAATAGAGCACAGGCTTAGGAACAAGTTTGGCCTTAAATTCTTGGCCAGTTCGTGTGCCCTCTCCATGCTTTAGATTCCCTAGCTGTGAAATGAAGATAAGATGATAATATGTACCTTCTAGGGTGATTGTAATGAACGTTTATGATTATGTATGTAAAATACTTGGTATAGGGAGGGCCTCGCAAAAGTTGGTACTCAATAATTGATAATTATGATAGAATTGGCTGTCTAGTTTTATGTTGTATGTATTCTGTTGAAGCTTTCATGTTTGCTTTTTTTCTTTTTTGGGTGAGGAAGATTGTCCCTGAGCTAACATCTGTGCCAGTCTTCCTCTGTTTTCTATGTGGGTCACCACCACAGCACGTCTTGATGAATGGTTTGTAGGTCTGCACCTGGGATCTGAACCCTCAAACCCCATGCTACCGAAGTGGAGTGCACGAACTTAACCACTATGCCACTGGGCTGGCCACTCATATTTGCTTTTTATGCATCAAAGTTCTTATTATCTTGTATAAGATTTGTGTATACATATGTGTTTTTTACCTTTTTAGGGAGTTCCAATGAATTCACTCAGGTTTCTCTTTGAAGGTCAGAGAATTGCTGATAATCACACTCCAAAAGAAGTGAGTATAATCTCTTCTCTGAGTCAAGAAAAATTTTAAATTCTGCATTTAATGATTTGGTTCACTAATATTAAACTGCCGTTTTTGTGAATATTCTCTGATTTAAGTGGTATATCATTTGTCAGAGAGAAACAGTCTTTTGGATTGAAACTTCCCATATATTGCCTTCGAAAGTACCAGTAAAAAGAGAGGTGGAAAGTGGGAATTGAGTACTGAAATTGTCATTAAGCACACAGTACGTCATATTGAAGATGGAGAGATATTCCCTAGATTTGGCAGATTTCTAATAGAGTTTGATGGTGATGGTGATGTTTTATGGTTTGATTTTGACTTTTGACCCATTTTGCGAGCTTATTAGTGTATAGAAATATATTTGGTTCTGTTGTCTTGGTTTATGTTTTTTAATGCTTCTGTGTCTTCATTTAATTGTTTTATTATAGGGAACATTTTCTTTGTTTATATATTCGCCCCCTCCCCACCCCACCCCCCGCATAGAGGACTCTGAAAGTAATAAAGTGTGAGAGAGAGTGTATATTTATATGTAGACAGATTCCTCCTTCCAAATACAAACTGACATTCTGATAGTGGGAATGATGTATGGTTATTTTTATTTTGAAAACATTTCAGACTCACAGGGTTGTTAGGAGACGAGTGTAATATTCTCCTGTATAACAGCCTTTTCTGTAGATTCACCAGTCACTAACATCCTGCTGTGTTTGCATTATCACTCTCTCTACATAGACATATTGTTGTTATTGGTGGACCACTTGAGATTAATTTGCAGATATCATGACCCCTTCGCCCTAAATATTTCTGTGCTCTCCCCCAAGAGCCACAGTTCAATTAACAAATTTAGGAAATTGAACTTTGATACAGTACTGTTATTGAATATGCAGTCACAATAGTCTGATTTTGCCATTTGTCCCGGTAAGGTCCTTTATAATTTTTTTTTTAACCCTGATCTGGGATTCCATCCAGGATACGCATCCTAACTAGTTATCATGCCTCCGTTGTTTTCTTTATCTGCAACAGTTACTCAGTCTTTGTTTTTCATCACACTGACATTTTTAAAAGAGTACAGGCCAGTTATGTTTTAGAATGTCCCTCAGTTTGGGTTTGTCTGATGTTTCCTTGTGGTGAGCTTCAATTTTGCCTTTCGGGTGGGAGTAGCACCGAGTGAAACCGTGTACTTGCGAGTGCATCAGGTCGGGAGGTGCGTGGTGTCCATTGGTCCTGTTGTGTGTAATGTTAACTTTGGTCACTTAGTTAAGGTGGTAACTGCCAGATTTATGTATTGTAAAGTTCTCGTTTTCCTGTGTAATTAATAAGTAATTTGTGGGAGATACTTTGAATCTGTGTGTATGTTCTTCTTTGGGTATTGGCTAGTGGGGGCCCCTTCAGTTTGGCATCTGTGTTCTTTTTGACATGTCTCCATCTTTTTTAAAGTTTCTATTTTGAAATAATTTTCAACTTACAGAAAAGTTGCAAGAATAGTACAAAAAATTGTACTCTCTTCCACCTAGATTCACCTGTTTTTAACATTTTGCTACCTTTGCTTAATTATTTCCCTCTTTGCCATATATGTGTGTGTATATATATTCCCCGAACCACTTGGGAGTAGATTGCATACACCATGGCCATTAACTACTTAATATTTTAGTGTGTATTTCTTAAGAACGGGTATATTCTTTTACATAACCACAGTACTGTTGATCAAATTCAGGACACTTAACACTGTTAGAATGCTTCAATCTACAACCTAATTTTGTCACTTGTCCCAATTATGTCTTTTATAACAAATTTTCTCCCTCGTCACTGGATCCAGTTCAGTATAAACATATTTTATTGAGGTGTCTCTTCAGTCATTTTTAATTTGTAACACTTCCCTAGCCTTTTTTTTTTTAATCTCATGACATTTATATTTTTGAAAAATACAACCAGTTATTTTCTAGAAAGTCCTTCATGACTGGATTCCAGTTATGTAGTTTTGGCTGGAATATACTACATGAATGGTGATGTGTCTTTCTCAGGGTGTAATATCTGGAGCATGTGAAACCCCTTATGGGTGATGTTAATTTTTATCACTCAGTTTAACTGTCTTTTTTTTTTTTTTACTGTGTTATTTTTTTCTTTTGTAATTGAGTAATTTGTGGGGACATACTTTGAAACTATGTGAATATCCTTTTTCTCATCAAACTTGTCCCCTAAGTTTAGTAGCCACCCACCTTCCTGAGTATTTCCTTACTTTTTGGCACGGTATGCTGTTCCAGACCCATGTGGTGTTTTCCCCGTCCTGGCGTGTGCGCTCGCTGCAGCACAGTGGACACTGAGTGCATTTTGCGGCCCCTCCTCACTGTCACTAAGAGATGATCTTTTCACAGGGGTGATGGGGCAGTGGGAGAGCGCAGGTTTTTGGGGAGTGTTCACTCATCCCTACTCATGTGCTGCTTGAAACTGATAGTTTAAGGACACACGCTACCTTCCTGATTTCAAGGTTCCTTGTAATTTTGGAATTTTAGTCCTTGCAGTATTTACTAAGCTATGTGTGCACTTAAGATTAAGTTTTAATAGCATCTTTAGTTAGTAGTTATTTTAATACTCATATATGTACCACAACCAAGAGATCCATAACACTAGAGCCAATCTAATCACTTTAAATCAACATAAGTCTGTGCTTTACTTTCAGATTTCTTAGCATATTTTGATTTTCATATTTTGTAATTCACAAAAATGTCACCTATAAAGTACAAAACTTTTCTCATTAAAGGAGATTATTGACCTTAGACTTTCCTTTAAAATTGTGTTTTCCATTTGTTCTGTGGTGTATCGGAGTTCAGTGGAAACAGTACTAGTTTTGTTTTCAGTCCGCCTAGCACAGTGCCTCCCAGCCCAGCTGCACGCCAGAATCGAGAGTCACGGTCCTTACCTCATGGAGGGCAGCACCTGGGTTTCTGTGTGACACCATGCCCCCAGTGTTCTTTTTTCTTTTTTAAATAAAAGAATACTCATGGTTAAAAATAAAAGTAATAAAAAGCCAAACAACCAAAGTATATAAAATGGAAAATAAATATATTCTGAATATCTGCATTCCCATTTCTCAGAGGCAACCATTATTAATAATATCTTTAAGAAAAAAATTCCAGAGTATTTCAGTGTATATAAATATAAAGCACATTAAAAAAAACAATAATTGCATATACTTTGCTTAAAAAGGGATTTTAAAGGATCCCCTTTTTTTCCTCTAAGAATTGAGAAGGGATGGGCTAAAAAATCTAGCTTATAAAGCTGGAGGTATCAAATAAAAGTAGATGTATAGATAGCTTTTCTGCATTTAGAGTGGTCAGTATCAAAGAAAATAACAGTTATATGCCAGAAGGAACTGTAGATGACAGCAAGACATTTAGAAAGGAATCCTTAGGCAGTATTTTTCTAATTAAAACCATGTGTATTTCAAATTGAGATTAGGCTTTTTGAAAGAGATTCTATCAGGTTATTATATCAAAAAGTAAAATGCTTTTTAGAAACTTATGCCATCAAACTATTAAACTATTAAATACATGTTTCATTAGATTTAACACTCCTTTAAGGTACTTTTCAGAAACACTTAAATTTTCTCTGGTGAGTAAACTGAGAAGTGAAGTTGACTCAGCAAAGTAGGACGAATGACTCCATAGACAGACAAGCAGAGGAAGGACAGACCTCTGCTCTTGAGAGGAAGGGAAACAGGAGTCTTAATCTTAGAACAGGGTAACTGGATCACTTGTATCTTTTTGCACTTGAAAACAGTGGCCACGTAATTGCAGCCAATTAAAAAGTGGTGCTTTTATGTTCTACAGCTAACATATTTTTCTTCCTTCTTACAGCTGGGGATGGAGGAAGAAGATGTGATTGAAGTTTATCAGGAACAAACAGGGGGTCATTCAACGATTTAGATATTCTTTTTATTTTTTTTTCTTTTCCCTCAATCCTTTTTTATTTTTAAAAATAGTTCTTTTGTAATGTGGTGTTCGACACGGAATTGAAAACTGGCACCCTGCCTCTTTAAAACATCTGGTAATTTGAATTCTAGTGCCCATTATTCATTATCGTTTGTTTTCATTGTGCTGATTTTTGGTGATCAAACCTCAGCCCCCTTCATATTGACCTCTCCTTTTTAAAAATTACATGTGTGCACAGAGAGGCCACCTTTTCCAGGACTGTGCATTTTCAGGCTTGTGATAAATAAGACCGACCAATGCGAGTATTCATAATGACTTTCCAATTGGCCCTGAAGTTCTAGCATGTGATTGCTTCACTCCTGGACTATGACTTTCAGTGGGAGATGGAAGTTTTTCAGAGAACTGAACTGTGGAAAAATGACCTTTCCTTAACTTGAAGCTACATTTAAAATCTGAGGGTCTGGACCAAAAGAAGAAGATCAGGTTGGAGTCAAGATGATAGAGATGGTGAGAGTAATGACTGACTCCAAAGATGGCTTCACTGAAGAGAAAGCATTGTAAGATTAAAGAAAAATCTTGACAGAAGATCCCAGAAAAGTTCTAATTTTCATTAGCAGTTAATAAAGTTATTCATGCAGACGTGTATATGACAGAACACTGCTCTTTTTGATTTTATTTGTACTTTTTGGCCTGGGATATGGGTTTTAAATGGACATTGTCTGTACCAGCTTCATTAAAATAAACAAAATATTTGTAAAAACTGTACTAATGTTCATTTTATTTTTAATTGTACAGAAAGAAAAAAGAAAATGCCTAAAACGTAAGGTTTTCTTGCATAATACTGGAAGTTATTGTTTGTACATGGTACAAATAAACTTTTTCTTCAGTATCGTGCGGTGATGATGACCACGACTTTGGAGCACTGAAGGTTACTGAAGTGCCTTCCGAATTACGGGTTTAATTAAGGCAGCAACACCTTCTTAAATACTCAGTGTTCTGCTTTTTAAAAAGTTTGATGTTTCTGTATGGTGCATATATATGACACACTTACCCAATCCTGTTGAATAAATGGACACACCAAAAATTCTTAATTGATTTATATTGATAATTTTAGTTTTCTCTTTAACAATTTATAAAATGTTCTTTGCTTAGTTAAGGTTTGGGATATTTTGTTTATGATTTCCTTTTATTTCTTTGTATCCTAAATATTTAAACTTTGTGTAAAATTAAAATACCAAATTAGCTCCTATTAGAGACCCTATTCTTTTAATTCTTGAATGAGTCACAGAATTCAGTGTGTGTACGCACACACGTAACCCAGTTTGATGTTAGTCCCAGTAGAGTGCCATCTGACCAAGTGAGAAGAGCAAAGAAAATAGCTCTCTCAAGCATTTTGTAAACTGTTAGGGCTTAAATACTCTACTGAAGTCACCTGTTGAAAAATAATTATCTTGCCTTATAAATTTCTCTGTCTGACCTTGAGAAACTATTTGTATTGTGTATATACAGTCTAGGTAAATGACGCTGTTAGACCGTCACCTGGCATGTTACCATTATATTACATAGTGCCTAGGAATTAGGCCCCTTTCTAGAAGATTCTCATTGAGTTGCATGTTTCTGTCAGGCCTGAGTACAGAGCTGATAGGCTATGTGAGCTGTCCAGACTGTACGAGTATGTAGTTTGGTATCCTGTTTTTGTCTGCATCTCTGAAGGCTCTCAGCATTTAGGTGGTGGAGCTTAGCTAGTGGAGAAGTAATTTTCTTGTTTTTAGTTTATTGGGTTCTTCTAAATGCATTGCATTCTGCTATGGTTAACTTAAAAATGTGCTTATCTGGTGTAGTACTGCTGTGGAAAAAGGCCTTTCACAGCAACGATTTAGTAGAATATCAGATTTAGAAGGGACCTTGAGTAATGTTTAGTGTAGCTACCCTACCTGGTGCTTGAGTCCAACATCTTAAGTTTGTAAAAGAAGGGAGAAAATAGTCCATAATGGTACTTTCCCCCACGAGGAACCCTGAGTGTTCTTTCTTCAGTTCTTGGTTGAGTTATTTGAGATGCTCCTTTCTCATCTGGTAAGTACTGTTGAATGATGAGTGAATGTGCAAGTAGGGTGGACAAGTTTGAGAAAAAGTTTAAGTGATTTAAATTCATTATGACTGATAGCCAGTGTTTGGGCCATTTTATTTCTCTTTTACATAAAACAAGGAGTTAAAAATAAGCATCAAATCTAAGCAAGTCCGATAACACAGCAATACAGAATCAAAATTAAGTGGGACTTCTGGATTCTAGAAGTGCAGCTCCTGTAGGAAGCAAATGCCATGCAAGCAGTGGTGGGAAAGTTTTCAGCTGTGCACAGTGAAGTACAGAGTAGAGCCAAAGGACATTCGTGGGAAAAGTCAGGTTCACGTACTGCTTGCTTGAACTAACATCTTTTTATATATGTTGTTAGCTAAGGCTCTTTCATCTCCTTTAACGGTCATTATTTGATAGACGCTTATTACTTATTGATATTAAAGAGATGTTAAAGACAAATTAGCTAATCGAGACTCTTCCTTGATAGTGTGATTTTAAAAATGGGCAAGTTATGTGTCATTGGTTTTTCAGAGCACAATTAGGAGTAAAAACTGAAGATTTGTTAATTTTCAAGGGCTCTAAGAGAACAGTGATGTCCAGTGAAACTTTCTGTGATGGTGAAGATGTTCTCTATCTGTGCTGTCCAGTGTGGTAGCCAGCAGCCACATGTGGCTATTGAGCACTTGGAATGTGGCAAGTGTGACTGAAGAATGCTTTAACTTACATTTAAAAAGCTGCATGTGGCTACTTATTGGGCATTGCTGCTCTAGAATCTATAGGATATGAGAATACCCTCACAAAATAGCTCATTTTGCTCAAATGAACATTTATCAAGTAATTACCTTGTTTTAAATAGACATTAAATTTTAGATCTTAGGATGAAGTGGATGTGGTTTTGCCTTATAAAGATTATAATAGAGGCCTGCCCCGTGGCTGAGTGGTTAAGTTCGCTTGCTCTTGCTTTGGCGGCCCAGGGTTTTGCTGGTTTGAATCCTGGGTGTGGACATGGCACCACTCGTCAGGCCATGCTGAGGGGGCATCCCACATGCCACAGCTAGAAGGACCCACAACTAAAAATACGCAACTGTACCGGGGGGCTTTGGGAGAAAAAGGAAAAATCTTAAAAAAAAAAAAAAAGATAAAATTCTTAATATATGAATTATCTCCTCTTAGCTAATTGAGAGCTATTTGTGTTACAAAATTTTCACTAACCTGCAATTCTTTTAGACACATTGACTGAAATGAAATGCTTGGACTATGCTAAGACTATGTTAGTGTCTTCCTAACTGAAATGCAAACAAATTATAAAACTGTGGGCTAGTTTTAGGCACCAAAGCTTCTGGATTTATGTGAGTGAAGAGTATCACTGGGTTGAATACAGTGTGTGGTGGGGAGGGGTGGTGGGAATGGAGGTCCCAGAGTGAAGTAGGTGTGAGTTGAGGTAAACCAGATGAAATGGAACTAATTGGGCTCAGTATGGAACTTCATTAGAGAACAAGTTTCTTTTTCTGTCACCATCTCCGAACTTACTTTTTAGTTTTCTTCTAGCCTTAAGGTCTGGGCATTTGCAGGAACTGAAAGTAAGAGTAGACCCATGGTCTGGAAATGTTGTGTGTCCACTGCAGGCCGCTGGCTTCCTTATGGAGGTCTCGGTGGAAGTGAAGATGTTGCCTCAAAGCAGCTTTTTGCCTAAGGAGACAACCCCACCCCAATCCCAGTACTGATTAAGCATCCTGGAAGTTGCCCTTAGAAGCTGTAGAACGATTTTGCATTTGAGTGATCATCAGTTAGACTTGGCGCTGCAGATCTTGCATTTTAGGGGAAGATCGTACACTGTTCCTTAAGTAACTTGATAAAGGAGGTTTAGAGTGCCGTGAGCCACCTCCTGGAAGAGTGAAAGGTGTAACTCAAGAGTTCCTAAACTGGTGTTGCTAAAGGGACTCCTTTGTGTTAGAGATGAGGACACAGGCCCGAGGAGTTAAAGTAGCTGGGCCAAGGTCGCACGAGTGAAGACAAAGTCAAGCCAGTTGGCGTCACGTTCCACCCCTGGGTAGAGTGAGGCTCTGCCCCTCACACCGCCGTAGCCACTTGGACTAGCCTTAAAAACTGCTCGACCTTGCCTCATATGCGCTGTCGGTGTTCTCTTTGTGGAAAATTGGAACTCAATAGCTTGCTTTTGGTCTCAATACTTAGGAATCCAGCCCTACTGCTATGATACATGGAATACATAATTTTGAAATTGAATGAAGATTTCTCTAGTGATCCTTTTTGTAATTCATGTAACAGCTGAGGAAAGTCCAGGAAAGGACAACTCAAGGTTAAGGTGGGAAACCTTGAAAGAGAGTTGCTCTGGCTGCCTTCTCTTTCTGGTCCCCTAAAGAGTATTTATTAGCTTAGAGTCAGCTTAAAGAGTCGATTGAAACGACATTACTCAAGAGATTCTCTCATCAGAAAGATGCAGTGACCATTACTGTTATAAGAGAATAAAGGAGGAAGTGACCTCGGCTAGCCCAGCACCCGGCAGTCAGGCCCCCGGACAGTCCCCCTGTGGCAGCTGTCGCCCAAACGTCTAGTACCTGGCTTGCTCCTGGCCTTGTTTCATGGCTTCCTCCAGAGCCAGCCTTGCCGCTTCCTCTTCCTTTTGCCTTCTTTCCTCTGCTTCCAGCCGAGCCTTCTCTTCTGCTTCCTGTTTCCGCTGCTGGTACTCCCGCCGCTCTTCTTCAGCCATTTCCATCAGGCGTTTCTGTTCTTCTGCTAACTGCATTTCCAATTCCTTCTGCCTTTGCTTCTCCGCCTCTGCAGAACAGAAAAGCAGGTAGGCTTAGCGGGGGTCTCATTGGAGAGAACAGTTCTCTGATCCAACTCTCAAGCCTGTGATTCCCAGGGACGCCCCATGAGATAGTGTGCAGCTCACCTGCCAGCAGGCTGCCAGATCCTCTGGGGGGGGTACCTTGGGGTTAATTTACTAGTTTAAGAGTCCTTTATCAAGCACCTACTATGTGCAGCACACTCTGCAATTAATACAAAGCCCTGGGGGAGAATTTTCCAGAGCCAGGTGTGCTCATGTGTGGTGTGCAGATGGATTGGGCAGGGGTGTCAGATCTGGGTCTGGAGAAACTTGGTGCTTCCTCAGCTGGACTGATCCATCTAAAGAGTGTCATCTGCTGAAGTTCCTTCGTCCTCAAAAGTGAGGACGAAGAGAGTCCACACTCAGCCCCTGAAAGGCTGCCCTGAAGCTATCCAGATGTTTGTCTCTGTCTGCTAGGGAAGGAAGCAAGGGGCAGGGCTGTCTCCGATTTAGGCAGCTCCTGGGCACTGCTGAGAGGACAATGGGAGGGGCAGGGTCCCAGGCTAGGGGATGACTGAATTGGGAGTGGGACCCAAGGATCATCTCCACAAGCAAGTCTCTTATTTTGATTTTCTGTCTCAACTCACTCTAGTCACACATATCAATCACTTTGAAAAAAAAATAGCTCATACATTTGGAGTGCTTCAGACACTAAGGCCTAGGATAGGAATAACTCTAGGGAGATGCAAATGAACACCCACAGTGGGATAAAAATATTTCCGCCCCAGATAGACAGGAGACGCAGAGCTCCAGAATGCCCTCACCAGCCCTCTCGGCTTCCTCCTGCTGCTTCTTCCTCTGTAGTTCTTGCAGTTTCCTCCGGAACTCCTCCTGTTGCTGCCGGGCTCTCTCCTGGGCCACCTGCAACTGGAGCCGCTGCTTTCTCTCCTGCTCCGCCTGCCGCCGCTGCTCTTCTTCGAGTCTCTGTTTCCTCAAACTGAGAAAGCCCACCAGATGGTCAGGGAAATGGCAGAAAACACTGGGGCATCTTTGCGAGACTAGCCAACAGGCAGTGCCCCTGGGGGAGGCTTTGCAGCCCGAAGGCCACTTGGAGCATCCGCTTGAGAGGAGACTCGGTTTCCAAGAGAGGGCTGATGGAAGAGCAGGAGCAAGAACACAGCGGGCCTGGGGCTGGAAGCCTGGAAGTTTCGACACACAGCTCTGTGCTCTAGGGTAGGGGTCTTAGGTTCTCAGAGCTTCGTTTTCCATTCTTAAAAATGGATTTTGGAACTCTTGTCTCATAAGGTTGTGCAGATTAAATTAAATGAGTCCAGGCCTATGAAAGGGCCTAGCACAAGGCAGACAACACGGCAGGGGCTCAACAAGCGTTTGCTGGACTCATCTATCTGGAGGAACCCTAATGGTCAAGGTGCTGCATCTCACCTTCAGGCCAGGTTATTCCTAGGATCGCTGAGGATAGAGAAAAATGAGAGATGCTGTTTTCCTTCAGGACCTGAGCCTCAGTACCCACTTTGCCCTAATGGAGGTCACCCCCTGCCGTTCGCTGCTGCTTCCTCACATGGCCCTGGCCGCTGTGGCTGCTCGACCCGACCCACCGGATCTCCTCCGCACGCCTTCGCTGCTCCAGCTCCAGCTCTTCCTTCATCCTCTCTGCCCTCTCCAGCTGCGCCTGCTGGAGCCGCCTCTGCTCCTCCTGCTCCCTCCTCTTCCTCTCCACCTCCAGCCGTCTCATCTCGGCCCTCTCAGCCCGCAGCCTGTCCCGGAGAGCTCTCTCCTGCTCCTTCTTAGCGAGGAGGTCCTAAGGAACCAGAGTGGCCTTAGTGCAAAGGACAGTGAGGTGTTCACGGGGAGCTTGTCTCAGGAGTGAGCCGCCTGCCCTCCCCACAGTGATGTCTCCCCTCAGAGATGGGACCCTTAAGTGGTTTCTACCCTCTGACCACAGCTGCATAAACTCTACCACCACCGGCTTGGGCTCTGGGTCTGATTGATCTGGATCCACATCTCTCTCTTACTTGTGTCAGGATTTGGGGATCACAACTTAACTTTTCTGATCTTGTCTTCCTCGTGGGCTGTTACTGGGATTAACTGAAAGAGTGACAGTGCCAGCCTAACGCCTGGCACATCGTCCATCTAGAGTTCTCAGCCCTACCTGCGCTTTAGAATCACCTGAGGAGCTTTCAAAAATTACTTGAGGCCAAGCCCCACCCAGACCACTAAGTGAGAACACCTAGGTGGCGGGCCTCAGTGGTTTCACAGAACTCCTCAGGTGGCTCTGACGCGAAGCCAGGGCCGGCAGCCACAGCTTCTGGATGGAGGCTCCTTGGCCAGGGGCAGTCTGAGGTACAGACATGTCAGACTCGCATTTAACCCCATGCAAACTCACTTTTTCAGTGAAAGGTTCTCTCAGTTTCCGTGAAGGATGTCTTAGCTTTCCTTCTTTGCTCTCATGCCTCCTCCTCAGTCACAAATATGCCCACGAGGGGAAACTGGGAAGGCAGCTCTTCCACGGGAACTCTGTGTTCAGCATGGGGTGAGACTGCCTTGCTTTTCAGCCTTTGCAGAGGCAGCACAGTATTATGCCCTGACACCAAATCTAAGAAATTCTGATAGTCTAGCAGGCTCAGAAAAATTCTGCCCACAGGTTAGAATGCCACCTGCTGTGTAGAGCAGAATTCTGTAATCTAAGCAGCTGGGAGAGTTGAGAACTATAAAAGAAAAATCTTTCCGAAATCCCTTTTGGAAGGCTATGGGCTATAAAACAAATAAATACATAATAATTTAAAATAGTAGGGCCACCCCATGGCCGAGTGGTTAAGTTCATCCGCTCCACTTCGGCGGCCCAGGGTTTTGCCGGCTTGGATCCCGGGTGCAGACATGGCACCGCTCATCAGGCCACGCTGAGGTGGCGTCCCACATAGCACAACCAGAAGGACCACAACTAGAATATACAACTATGTACTGGGGGGCTTTGGGGAGAAGAAGAAGAAAAAAAATAATTTAAAATAGTGACAAGAGCTCTGATTTTGGAGTCAAAGGACCTGGGTTTAAGCCTTGGCTCTACAACTCGATAGTTGTGTGACTTCTGGCAACCGATATTTAACACCTTCAAGCCTCAGTTTCTAGGTCTGTAAAATGGGACCAGTCATACCTAGCTCACAGTGTGGCTGTAAAGGTTAAGTGAGAGGCAGCAGAGTTGTGCCATATGTACAGGTGACTCATGTGAGTTTAATCATAGTGGCTTAGCTGTGGGTGTGCTGCAGTGTTGAAAGATAGTTTTTTTTTTTTTGGTATACAGCAGACCTAAATGCAGTTCAGCACCTTCATCTCAGTGGAAGAAACAGTGATCTATTCCAATAGCAGAGGAAAAATTGGCTGTGTTCAGTCTTATTGAGAGATGTATCTGTATAGTATTATTTTTGTCTAATTACAGGGATTTTCAAGGGTAATTTTCCTTAGAATCATTCAGTTTTTCTCTTAAATATTCGACATTAGAATCAAGGCTCCTGGAACAGAATGGCTCTTACACGCAAAGGCACCTTGTAAAGGCAGATGTGTGTGTTTCTGCAGCCTGTGGTCCAGTTGAGCCACAGATGAGCAGCTCAGTAAAGGAGGAATTTCCACAGCCTTTGGGAGCCGTTTGAGTAACTGCAATGTCATTTGGGGCAGTTTTTCCCACCCCTGCAGTGGCATCAGTGAGGACAGGAATCCCTCTGGCCACGGCAAGAATATCGGACCTACCTTGGAAGGGTCCTCGAGGCTTCTCTCTTCTTCAGATTCCATGTTTCCAGTGACAGCTACAGTCTGAGTGGGCGATGATCTTCTATCTATTGAAACTTGGCTCTCCGGAGCATCATATCCGGGAGAAAGCCAAGGGTCCCCTACAAGGGAGCCTGAAGGAGAGAAACCTCTATCTGATGTGTCTTCTGTTTCCTCGGAGTTAATGGCATCAGGCCCACTCAGCTCCGTCTCCAGACTCCTTTCCTTCTGTGGCCTTTTCCTTTTGCTTCCTGGTTTTTTTGCTTTGGCGGTTAGCTCGGGTTTCTTTCTAGCCTTTGATTTCTTTGACTTCCCTGGGGACGAACAATCAGGGACAGACGGATAGCTAAGTACACACGGTCTCTGCATCCTTTTCAGCAACTTCTAAACTTCAGCATGGATGGAATCGCCTGGGCTGCAGTTCCTGAGCCTGACTCCCAGAGTCGGATTCTGTAGGAATCTGCATTCTACCACCACTCCGAGGGTTTTGAGAAGGGTGGTCCACAGACCATCCTTTGAGAAAGTGCCTTATCCTCTCTGGATTAACTATAATTTAGTGGTCTTGCTACTAAAAAAGTTCTGTCTTACCCTGCCCTATGGTGGGGGCAGGACTCTCTGGAGGAGAGACCTGTAGACACAGCTGGAAAGTCATGCCTCAGGGGCCTGGCTTGAGGTTGCAGCCATGTAACCCGGCAAAGTTTAAGCCTTCCATACTCTAAGGACTCTTGCTCAGTTCACCTCTGGGAGCCACAGGTATTTCCTTTTCCCAGTCCTGCTAGTGCTACCCAAGTCTTGGGCTACAACAATATAAACTCGGCAAGACTTTAAAGAGCAAATCGTGAAAATAGGTCTGGCCCAGGAAGCTATCCAGTGTCATCCTTTCTGACAGCTTTTGATTTGTTTGGAGGGTCTTCTGAATCGTGGTCAGTAAGGACGGGTGTAGGTTTAGGCTAAAGAAAGTCTTCAAAGCACGGGAATCTGAATTCCTTGTAAGGTGCAACACAAGGAACCAAGAAGGAAAACGGTACCTGGGGTAACCATTCAGAGCTTGTTGCATCCTTTCCCTTCCCAAATGCCCTCACTGCCCAGTTCTCAGATTACACTTAAGTTGCTGGTTCACAGACGCAGTGGTAATGGCGTGCATTTGCAACCTAATGGCAGGACAGACCCTGGGTCCATCCTTTTACTGTGTGACTCGTTTGATCTTATGCAAGTCAGGCAACCTCTCTCAGCCTCCACTGCCACATACTATAATAATAGTCCTTACTTTATGGAGCTGTGGTGGGGATTTCATGGTATCATATATGCAGGGCTCCTAACGTAGTGGGTGTTCAGTGAATAGGTGCCGTTATTATTATTATCACACCCTCTCCTAGGTCGGTAGGCACCCCCGGTCTCCTCTATCTCTGTCTCCTAAGATATCAACATGAAGTAAGCCTGCAATACCGTCTTAGCTGTGGGAGTCAAGGAGACTCAAAACAGAGAACTTGTCCCATGGGATCTGTGTTGATTTTCCATGAGACCTCCGGGCCCCCATTAGGCATCTTCTCCTGGGTCATTCCTGGAGGGGACACTCCCTTACCAACGGCAGCCTCTGCTTCCCTGCGAACCTTTCCTTCTCTCTCCCTTTTGGGTGCCTTGGACTTGTCCATCTTGGTTCTTTTCTTTCTCTTAGCTTTGTCAATCAACTCCATCTCCTAAAGGTGAAAAATTAAGGAAAGGGACCATGTAGGAAACAAATAAGAAATCCATCAACGAAAGATTGTTGAACAAGGTGACAGAATGGCTTAGAATGGAATTCGTGTGGGTTCCAGATGAAGCAGAAGAGTGAGGCTTAGAGAGTGTGGAGTTGGTGGGGAGATCCTAAGGTTCAGCCTTTGATTGGAAACTGCTGGTCTAATTTCATAGGGGAAAAGAGGACTGGAACACACACTATGATCTGCCCCTTTTTTAGATGCTAAATCATGGTCTTCAGAGCTGGATCAAAGTGAAGCAGTTTTCACCTTTGATAGATTGCTGTTGCCGTGATTAACGGTTAACTAGTTTAAGTCAAAGCCAGCTTTATTCATGGCTGCATCATTTGCTAACTTTCAGGAAAGCACGAGCAGATGGCCACAGGCATGTCAGTCTTCGCCATTCCCCATTGGCTGGGACAACATGGAGGTTCCTCCTAAAAGAAGATGGCAAAGTGGGGCCATGGCTACCCACTCGGTACCTGTGATATTGTGACATAATAAGAAATATATATTTGGTCTTCATCCCGAGTCCCTGGCACAGAGTTCCTAAAACCCTTGTTAATGAGCTGATTCTGGAAAGCCCCTAAGGAGGGGGGGCTGGTTGCCAGGGGAACCAACCATGTGATCAGAGGGTTGGACATTTCAGCCCCATATCCCTGACCTCAGAGGAGCCAGTCACCATTAGACAATGATTTAATCAACTATGCCTACGTAATGAAGCCTCCATAATAATCCTAACCAAAGGACTTCTGAGAGCTTCTGAGTTAGTGAACATACCCATGTGCTGGGAGGGTGGCACACTCCAGATTCCATGGGGACAGAAGTTCCTGTGCTCAGGACCCTTCTGGACCTTGCCCCATGTATCTCTTCATCTGGCTGTTCATTTGTATCCTTTAAAATATCTTTTGTAATAAATCAGTCATAGTAAGTAAATGTTTCCCTGAGTTTTGTGAGCTGTTCTAGCAAATTATCAGATCTGAGGAGGGGGTCATAGGAGCAGTCTGTTGAAAGCTATTGAAAGCCTGTTGGTCAGAAGTACAGGTGACAACTTGGGACTTACAATTAGTGTCTGAAGTGGGGGCAGTCTGTGGGACTGAGCCCTTAACTTGTGGGGTCTGTGCTGACTCTGGGTAGTTAGTGTCAGAATTGAATTGCTGGACCCCCAGTTGATGTCCAGAGAGTTGGAGAATTGGTTGATGTGGGAAAAACTGCCACACACTGGGTATCAGAAGTGGTGTGAGTGTGGGAAAACTGAAGTTCCCTTTTAGTACCTTTGTAGGAATGAGAAATGGGCACTCCATCCTCCAGAAGGATGCAGCGAAGGTTGAGGGGGCAGGGCACGGTGAGCAGACCACAGACCGGATTTCAGCTCCCACTTGCCTACTTTGTCAGGTGCCCCTGTACGGTAAGCAGTCTACACAACTGTACATGGCAGCCCTGATGGGAGCACGATCCAGGCAGAGCTTCTGGACAAAGCTCCCGGGTGTTTACACTCACATGACTGATGTTGGCTGGTGTGTGCTGGCTGAACAGTCTGGCTTCAGTCTTCCATTCTCTTTCTTTTGGAAGAAGAGATGTATCTACAGGACCCAGCTTCTCTGAGGACTCAGGCCCGTGTCCTGGAAGTCTTCTGTGCAGATGGTGTACATCATAATCTCTGCCCCTTTGAAAAAAGCAACCCAGCAGGACCAAACTAAAGAGAAAACGCTCGTGGACAAGCAAGAGGGAGGTGAGCAAGCTGACTCAGCACTGGGTCCCACCAGGCCCTGTGGCCAAATGCTCACTCTCTCTCTTTTCTCAACACATCCCCAGGTAAGGGAGATGAGAAAGTTTCTTCTTCACTTTTGGGGTTCTCTCAGGCTAAATCCTAAAACTTTTGGAGCAGGAGAACCAGTCTGCCTCTCTGGGGTTGCGTACGGTGCCTTTAATTGAATGACATAGGATTATCTAACTGAAATTTCTTTTATCAAAGGCTTGGCTGAAAAAAAGCGACCTTTACAAAAGATTGTCTTAGGAAGATCCAACTATCCGTGGGTTCCTTGATGCCTTCTGATCCAACCACTAAAAGGTCATGTGCTGTGTAAGTGTGAGCCCTTGTGGAATTGCTGTCGCTGACCATGTGCCTTGAGGTTAACTGAGTGACGTTCTCTGGGTAAAAAGGCCACTAGGAAACGGCACATGGACTTCAGTAGCAGCTGCAGCAGCAGCTCTGTGTGCCAGGCTGGCTCTGGGCAGTTCATTTTTTAGCAAAAGCAGGATTACATTTACTGTGCTGTGCTAGCACACAGCCTTACTACAGAAACTTGAGAAATATTTGTTGAATGAGGTCACTGGAATTTCCTGTAAATATAGGAGTCTTTAAATCGTTCAGTGTCACTCTATAAAAACCCATAGAAGAAGGATCTTTAGAATTTAGTGCTAGGAAACCTCTCTCCCCCCCGAGGAGCAGGTATGTGCCAGTGAGAACCACGAACCTGATGGCGTTGCGCCCGTGTCTTCCCCTTTCCCCTTCAGGACTCTCTCTATCGAGTCTGAGAGTCTGAACTTCAGTCACAATGATTATAATGACTTTTGTGGAGTGTTGGTGTTCTTTTTTCTTTCCCTCCTGATTTAAAGACAATTTTTTGATTATCTCATCTCTTTTTTGGTGAGGGGGTAGTTGTAAGCGGTTTAAATCCATTGTGGAAAAAGATGAGGTGTAAAAGTTAAAAAATGGAATTCTTCAGACAGCTGCCTCAATACCCAAGCGCCCTTCGCCCTTGTTCCCAGGGAACCAAAGGCTTTTTGACCCAGGAGGGAATCCTTACACCACGAGGCACGTGAGGGCAGGTTCTCAAGTCACCGTGGCTCAAGGCAGGTCACAATAAGCTACAGTTCCAGCTGCCACTGCCAAACGGGGCTGAGGTCAGCGATGGCCTGACCGCTGAGCCGCTGGTCAGTGAGCTCATAGTGACATGCAGAAAGCACTTAATACATGCTAGCGTTAGTATTCGTATTATTTATTTCACCTAGAGCTGAGTGAATGCTGAGAGGAGAAACTAAGGTTGAGTTGACAGCTTTCTAGGCCTGTCTGTAGATCTCAGATATGCAGACAAACAGAGAAAGCTGCTTCTGTTTGGCTGGAGTTAAACTTTGCTCTTGGCCCACCCAGCCAGAGTGTGGTTTAAGGAGGAAGCACATCACAATATAATCCTCCCCAAGAATCTTTGTTTCTCAGATAGCAATTTAATTCCAGCTGTCAGAACATGCGGTTAGCTGAGAATCTTCATGCCTCTTAGAAAAAACAAACGAGATTAATTGAAAACAAAGAAAAAATAAAAGTAGAAATGTCCATGTCATTGAACTTTGAACACTTACACCTTGTGGACAGCGTCTGCCTCAGGGGTCTGGATGTGCTCAGCCATGGAAGCATTAAGAGGTTCAAGGGTCATGCGCCTCAGCTCTGCATCTGGAAGACAAGGAACATCCTTTTTTATTTTTGCTGAGGAAGATTGGCCCTGAGCTAACATCTGTGCCCATCTTCCTCTATTTGTATGTGGGATGCCACCACAGCACGGCTGGATGAGCGGTGTGTAGTTCTGCACCTGTGATCCAAACTTACGAACCATAGTTTGCTGAAGTGGAGCGTGTGAACTTAACCACTCTGCACTGGGCTGGCCCCAAGGAGCATCCTTAGTCAGCAAAGGATAACATGAGATGGTCCCAGATGTGGGAAAATGTCTACCTCGTTTTCAGTGGAAAGCAAATTAGCACAATGAGGTATGTTATCCCCGGGAAATGAGCAAATGCTGCAGAAACCAGTGCTGGCACATGGCAAGTGATACTAAATTAGTAAGACCCTTTGGGAAAGTGATATGACAGTATGTATCAAGAAACAGAAAAATGTTCTAGTCTTTGATCAGGAACCTCAACTCCTGGGTATTTATCATAAGGAGATAATTCAAAAGAAGAAAGAAGCTTTTTGTACAAAGTTATTACAACATTATTATTAATAATGAAAAATTTGATGCAGCCAGATATGGGAGATTGGGGAAGTAATTTATGATGCGCTAATTTGACATTTAGAATTATGGTTAAAAAGATAAATAAGCAATATGGAAAATATGATATAATGACAAGTAAAAATGTAAACTATAGTATAATACGTTAAAACTCTATAAAATATGTATGTAGATGAATGAACACTGGAAGAGAAAACAGAAAAAGGAGATAATATGTTAGATTGGGAGGTTTGTGTGTGTTTAAATTTTTTCTTAAAACCCTAGTGTGTTTATAACATTGAAAAGAAAACTGCTTTGAAAAAACAAATGTTCCCCTCTGAAGAGGGCTTACGCAGGCGGCATGGCCGGCACTCTCCACCAGGTGCTCTGAGGACCACATCGGAGGCTCTTTTAGAAGGAGAAGAAGCCCCAGGCTAAGGCTTCGTATTGGACTATGCCACCTTTTATTTTAGTTACTTTAAACAATTTTTAATTACGGAAGGTATATTTCATTGCAGAAAATTTGGAAAACACAAGCATAAAGAAGAAAACAACCCCCTCACAATCAACACATCATTATCAGAATGACTAAAAAGACTGACTATACTAAGAGTTGACAAGGATGCAGAGAAACTGGAATTCTTGTTACTGCTGGTTGGAATGTAAAATGGTACAATGGTTTCCACTTAGGAAAATTGTTTGACAGTTTCTTAAAAAATTGAATATTATAAACACCATATCATTCAACCATTACACTTCTAGGTATTTTACTCAGGAGAAATGAAAGCGTATGTCCTTATAAGCAGTTGTACACAAGTGTTCATAGCAGCTTTATATGTGAGAGTCAAAAACTTGAAACAGCCCACATGTCCGTCAACAGGTGAATGGATAAACAAACTAGTAGGTACGTACAATGCAATACATACAAAACTGCTCAGCAGTAAGTAGAAAGAAAGTATTGATACACTCAACAACATGGAAGAATCTCAAAAGAATTATGTGGAGTGAAAGAAACCAGACAAAGGGTACATATGATATGATTCCATTTATCTAAAATTCTAGAAAATGTAAAGTAACTTGCAGTGACAGAAAGCAGAGCAGTGGTTGTCTGGGGACGGGGGAGGCTGGAGTTGGGGGAGGCACGAGGAGCGTTGGGAAGGTGACTGTTTCCTCCTGAGTGTGGTGGTGGTTTCACGGCTATATACGTATGTTGAGACTCACCTAATCACAGGGAAGAAAATTGTAACTATGTGCTGATGGATGTTAACTAACCTTATTGTGGTAATCATTCGCAACATATACATATATCAAATCATTATGTTGTACACCTTAAACCAATACAATGCTATCTGTCAATTATATGTCCATAAAACTGGAGAAAAACCTCTAAATCATAGCAATGTTTAATGTCTCAATGAAAGAAAATTGTTGGCTGAATAATTTTCTATTCTACCAAATAGTTATACATAATTAAAATCTAAGAAAAAGTGAAGTTGATTATATTAAAATCTTTACAGAAAAAATAGTAATATTTAACATTCAAAAAAATGTATTTAATGGTACAATTTAAATAGGTACAATTTATCATGTGCCAATAACCCCTCGATAAGGCTGCTTTAAAAAACTTAACAAAGAATATATGAATACAAACGAAGTGCCTAAAACAGTGCTGGCACCTGGTAAAAACAAACAACAATAATAACCAAAAAACCTTCACCCATTCTCACTCTACTCACATACAACCTCTGCAAATATTTTAACATGTGTAAGTCCATGCATGTATAATAAATATACACCCATATTTTAATGGAATTGATAATATAATATATACATAATTTTAATCTACATTTATGTTATTAGAATTTCCCATATAATTAAATATTCTTAAAAATTATTTTAATAACAGACAGCATTTCATCATACGGATGTACCATAACTAACTTAACCAAACATGTAACCTTTTTTCTTTTTAGTTTTCATATCGTGTTATTTTTTAACTTTTAAAATTCAAATTGTTTCAAATTTTTTGTAAAGAACTTTGCATAGCATATTCTTGAAAGGAACGTTTTTGGCTATTAAAAGACTTACTCTTTGTCCTCATCTGTGATTATCGAAGAATGTATAGTCTTTAAGGCACAATGTCTGCTGCCAAATTGTTCCCTAGGAAATTTGTACCAATTTACACTCCGAGGACATGATCATTCCTTCCTTCCCTTATCATGTGTTTATGAAATACTGACTACGTGCCAGCCATTGTGTTAGGTGTGGGAACATAGTGGTGAGTGGGATGGACACACTCTGGTCTCAGGGAGGTTAAATTTTAGTGGGGAAGATGAATATTACCACAAAATGAAACAAAACAAAAAATAAAAAACTTTTTGAAAGGAAGACTCTAATATTCAATCCCTATTTCTCTCTTTCTCTTTGAGCAGTAGGTTCTTGCATGAAGTAATTTTTCCTTAATTTTCTTTGTTTGAAAGTATTATAATTTAAAGAATGAACTCACCTGTTGTCTCACCGTCATCATTCCCTTAGGACTACAGTTAAGCCATTTTTCAGGGTTCCCTCATCGTCCACACTGGGCCCCCGCCCGAGCCTCTTTGCAGCTTGGGTCCCCTCTGCCATCCCCAAACGTCAAGGGGGTGTCCACTGTCTCACACTTCAACCTCTAGACTCTTCAGTGCGGACAGAATTGTTAATGTGCACATGGTGGTTGAGGAAACTGGGAGGGTCCATTGGTCCTTGGAATTTATTTTGTCTTAGATCATATGTAAAATTAACAGTGGGAGCTGATTTAAGCATTTTTGTGATAAGGGGAATTCTGTGAGGGTTTCTTTCCCTGACAATGAGACAGCCCAGGCAAAACTGTCTCAGTGAAGACATTCGCTCCTCTTCACAGCTATTTTGAACTCTAGGACAGGGCACCACAGGACCAGCAGAGGGCGCGTTTGTATTGACCAAAAGCTGAGGTTCTATACTGGTGTAAACTCACCATTTTGATTAGAATTGAAACCCTGTCAGTTCTGGGATGTGGAGCATAGAAGGGTGATTTTCTTTTTCTCTAGTAAGATAACCTGATACTTAGGAAGTATTGGAATAAACTAAGGCAGTACTTTGAGTAATATCTTACAACTTTTAACTGCTTTAAAAAAATCTGTAAAATATTTTAGGAACGGAGAGTATAGAAAAAATTACTATATTACCCATTTGCTTACCACCTAGCTTTGTGAAATCTTAACATTTTACTGTACTTAATTCACGTTTTTTCTAAAGAAATAACACATTTCAGATACAGTCCAAGACTTCGTTGTATCACATACAATCTCGTTTCCCTCAGTCTCTCCCCAGAGATAACTCTTCTCTTAAATTTGGTATTTATAAATTGGCTGGGTTCAGAACATGCTACCCCAAATCTGGCACCTTGGCAGACTGAGTATCTTAAGCCAAAGGAATCTGAGCAAGGGCAGGTGCAGGAAGGACTCTCTGACCTCCCCCTTCCTCCCTGAGGCAGGTTGTAAGACCCTCATCTGAGAGGTGTCCCCTGGAGGAAAGGGGCCTCCTCAGCTCTGAAGACAGAGGGACTCGGAGAGGAATCCCAAGGAACAGGCCTTGCTAAGTTTCCCCCAGTTTATTACCTTTAGCTCATACCCTTTTGTCCTATCACATTTTCCCACAACTTCCCACTCTTCATCAAGCCTAGTATAGAAATGCGCAGGCCTAACCATTTCTTTGTGTTTTCATTTCCTTATGAAGGCTCCTGTGTCACATAAAACTTACATTAAATAAATTCGTGTGCTTTTCTCCTGCTACTCTATCTTTGTTAATTTAATTTTCAGGCCCCGCAAGGGATCCTAAGAGGGTCGAGAAAAACCTTTTTCTTCTCCTACACGGTCCTCATGCATATTTTAATATCTTAACACACCTATAAGTAACATATAATATTATTTTACGTATTATAACTTTATATCAATATAATCATTTATATAACTTTTGCAACTTGCTTCATTTTGCTTAACGTTTTACTTTTGAGATTAATCCACGATAATACATGTAGTCTCCATTTATTTATTTTGAGGGGCTGTGCATTATTCCATTGTATAATTGTACCACAATTTATTGGTCCATTTTGCTGTTGATGGCTGTTTTGATTATTTCCAGTTTTCTGTGATTACAAACAATGCTGCAATGACCCTTCTTGAGTGAGTCACTATGCATCTATGAAAGAGTTTCTCTAAGATATACCTGGAATGGAATTTTTGGGTTGTAACAGGGTATATGTATCTTCAATTTGTTGGATATTTCCAAATTGCTCTGACTTTCTAAACTCCATATCCTCATCAATAATGGGTGTACAGACTTTTAAATTTTTGCTAAGCTGATATGTATGAAATGATATATCTTTTTGTTTTAGTTTGAACTTTCCTGATTGGCAGAAAAATGGTCATTTCTTTAGGTTTCCTCTTTCATT